GCTTGGAATGATGCTTGGAACTGAACGCTGAGAATGTGGAGTGGCCAGCTGGAGAACTGGACAAACATTTTCGCATTTATTTGACTCTTCACAGTCCACAGTCTGCATTTCACACTGGCTGAGTTATATGTCCTACTTAGAGGTGCTTGAATAGTATTACAGTTGTAGACTAGTAGTAACCAAAGGTAATCAAAGATTATGAGAGTGCGTTCGACGTCTTCACTTTCAATGATTTCATTAGGTGACTTGAAACTCCTGTCTGTTGCTGTAATCTACAATTGCTTTTTTATGTCGACAGCCGAACTGAGTTCTATGCAGATATGACAGAATGACAAAGTCCAGTATTTTCCTGTGGATTTCTGATTACCGATAACAAGTAGAGGTCCACTCTACAAACCATGATTTATTGCTTTGTTGCATGACAGCACCAGTTTCTGTAAAGTAAACTAAAATATTTGCATTTGGCTTCAAATTTCATGCTTGAAGCACAAATATTTGCCAACACTTTATCATAAACAAATTCCATGCGACTGATTCAAATATTTTCGATGATGAAAGAAAACAGACAGCATTTACATTGCTGTTCCATGGTTCAGGCTTACTCTTATTGATCTTGGCTTCAGAGTACTTTTCCATCGATAAACGAGTGACCGATCGAGAAACCAAAACAGTCTCATATGCACGTATGCACCAGAAAGCAGTACTATGAGAACACTGGGCCTCATCGTCAAGATTCTAAATGCTTTTACCTTGTATTTATTATCAGAACACAGGGTCCCATGATGGCCCATTGTTCTCATCGCCAACTCAAAACAGAATTGAAAATCAAATGTTGTGTTTTGATGGCCCATCATTCTTACAGCAAACTCAAAACAAATTTGATCAAAGTGGCTATGAGCCACTCAACTTGGAAAATGGATCGTCTGTAAACAGTGGAAACTTTGATGCCACTGACTTGAGGTTTTAATCCACAGGTTAAGTTAAAGTTAAAGCCCACTGGCAAAACGCAATAGTAAGAGAATACACAAGGAGATGTAACACCGTAGAAAACATTCATGAAGTTATTGGTGATCCTCATCCTAGACAATAATATTATATGGCTTCTTGTCCGATCAGCCAAGTAAGTATAATTGTATTCTCATTTTTATTCCTATTTTTTCATTCTTTATTTTTCCAGTTGATATCAGTGATTTTTTTCTTTCGTTGTTACCTTTTGAGAGATAATAAAAAATTAACCAACGTAGAGTCATAGTACTACAAGGAGACCACTGCATCTCGTCCACTCAACAAAGTTAAGCCCTGTTCAGCGGGGTTCCTGCTTAGATGGGTGACCAAATCCGAATACCCAGTGTTGTAATAATTTCCTTTTTTTCTCTTTTTTCTTTTTTTTTTCTTCTCTTTCCAAGGCGATAATAGTGACTGCTGAACTCCCAGTCTTGTGTAATGTCTTTTTTTTCCTATTTATAAACTATTTTGTTCAAATAGTTTCGCCATGTCCGTATTCATCTTTGAAGTATTTATTCACAATACTGCATAAATAATAGCAAAACGCATCGTTCAAATTCTCCTCAATTCTCGTCTGTTGATCGTCTAAAACTTTTGATCACGGCTTGAATCATGATTTGAAAATTTATAGAGCCCATCAATTTTGTGATTTTCAATATCTCCTCAGTTTTAGACAATTGAGTATGGTTAAATCTGTATAAGCCCACACCTTCGGGAAATGAGCCATTTATATAATTAGCTTCTATATATAGAAACATTTGTGTGAAAAATCTATTCAATGTAGATCATTTCTGCAGTAAGATATTAAGTATTTGCATCAGAAATTCAAAGAATAACTAATATAACTTGACACGGTGCAATCAACTGTAAAGTTGGCCTTAGACTGTGCGATGTTTGAAACCCGAGGAAGACTTCTATATTAAAAGGTCAAGGATGCTCATTGTCTCAGGTACAAATCAAGGATTCTCGTCTCACTTAGGGTGTTGATGACGAAACATCACCATTCTTAGCTGTCAAAGTATCCTTTAGGGTGTACTCAAAGAGATAATAATAAAAGAAACACTTTCATTTGTTCTCCATTGATCTCTCCAGTAAGCGAGTAGGGTTTACAAGTTCGCATGGGATCCTTTCTTGAACAGTGGCTAGTGATCGAACCTATTCCATTTTAAGTGGCATCTTTTTGGGGTCTATTGATGCTTGAGCAACATCCATATTAGTCTTCTTTACGAGTTAAATTCTAATTTGCTGACAAGCATCCCTGACGTTCTCATTTGGGAGTTCCCTTGGGATTCCAAATGTCTCACAGGAAGTGACCCAGTGAAGGAGTGAAGGAAATATAATATTTTCTAAGTTTAAAAATCAAATGTTGTGTTTTGATGGTGCATCGTTCTCATAGCAAACTCACAACAAAAATGAAAATCAAATGTTCTGATTTGATTATTTGATTACATATATTAATGTGATTTTCTTATGAGAATGCTGGGCCACCATGGTATGCTTCCAGTGAAATAAGGCATCCTGATTTTGCTATTGACAAGAAAATTCCGACAGTGAGTCTAATCTGCAGGTAACAGGTCACTGGTCGCACTATGCCTGAAAATTTGAGCTCACTTGCCCAAATATGACTGTGCTCTGACACGTACCTTAAAGCAAATAAAGATCACACTTCTTTCACGCTTTCCATTGAGTGTAACTTGCTTTGATACATGTACAATTGAAAGGCTTTATGCAGCAGAAGCCTGAATATTTGTTGTTTCATTACCCTTTGTGATTTGCCAGGCCACAGTAAGTAACATGACAGTTTTCCAGCTTGTCTGGAATTTGGAGGCATGCATGTCTCTGCCGTTAACAATCTGGTTGCATTGTTAAAATGTAACTCTGTTCTCAAACCAAGCATGGCATTCAAAACTAACTAAAAATTTCTCTGTATCTGATGGAAATAATGATAGGACTGATAGGAATAATGCAAACTGCAACAAAATAAACAACAGATTGGAAGCCAGGCAATTTTGATTATCCTGGTGCCACTTACAAAACTCAAAAGCTCGAGAATGTTGAAAATTATGCTCTGAAGAAAAATTTTCCCATGCCCTCTAAGGTAAAGCAAAAACGGTTACTTCCCACCTTCAAGGGCACAAAAAATCATTTTTTTTCTTTTATTTGACAAAATTTAAGTCAGTCATTTTATCTAAAGTTTGCAAAAGAAAAATATTAAAAATCTCAAAAAGCAACCAAGTCAGTTAGAAAAAACAAATTTTCAAATGAAGTTAATAAACCAGGAAGGTGTCATAATCACTTAAATGGATGAAACTGCCAATGGAAATTTTCGCAGCAAACTCTCATCTAGGAGAGCTCTCATATTTCATGTTATTTGGTATTGTTTATATTGCACATTTTCTTCTTTTGCCTTTAACTACTTTCCTGTTTTAGTGTCTTTCTCTTCGAGACAGCAAGATAGGAAACATGTTGCAATGCAAAGTTTTTCCCAGGAAATCGTGTTCCATTGTCTTTGACACTAGGAGGTCGTGTTGTTCCACTGGTTTGCAGTTTCATAAGGCAAGATAATCTCCTGGTGTGGCATGAGTTGTTTACAAACCTTTACAAGCTAAAATAGCGCATTTGATTTTGCTAGAAATGCATCCACTTTGAGCGAATTTGTAGGGTATGTAGATTAGACAGATTTTCGTGAAATTTCGCCAGAACATTCTAGGGATAATAACAAACAAAACTGTGTCGGGTAATTTTGACATTTAACATGTTTTTCCTGTGGCATTCATTTATGCAACACGTCTCGCATATTTTTAGCTACTTCAACTTTAGATGCAGATATCTAGACAACCAATCAGAATATTGAAAAGCCTCACACACTTTTGCTGATTGATGCATCGTGAATAAGACTGTGCAGCCATTTTGCTCATGTGGCAGCAACCAATAGTCGATAAATTCAATAAAAGAACCCTCTGTCGTTTCACGCTCTACCGGATCCTGACATTTCCTAAAAGAAAAACTCCCTTCAATTGTATTTTCATCGTAAACTACATTTATTAAGCTTCTTCTGATATATAGTTTGTTGGGTTTTTATATAACCTGGCGTGCATACGATTTTTTCCCCAAAGGACACCCACGAAGGTAGGAAGTAACCTTAAGTTAAAGCTTAATACCAGGTGATCAGTTTCATTCAATAGACATAATACAAACAGCCAATTGAATGAAAATTATGACAATCATTGACATTGTTTACACAGCATTTTCCACAAATGTGAGGTCCAAGAGTTTTATAAAATACAATGTCTATAATGTCTTGATGTTTGCTTCTTTCACCGTGATTATTTAACATAAGGAGTCAAACAGAACAATTTTGTTCCCTTGGTCATTTTCTAGCTATTCTGTGACTCAGGGACACACCTGCTTTGCAAAGAGATCTTTTAACTCTAATCGCAAACCAAGCATCAAATTAGTTACTCTCCATCAGATGGAAATAATTCTGCATGGAAAGGAAATTATAAAACCAGGCGACAAAATAAATAACAGATTAAAAGCTGGCTGATTTGTGAACTAGGCTATTATTGAGAGTACTCAAATAGTATATCTTTCCGAAAGCAGTGGACTTTATTTTGTTTGCCATTCCCTGCTGAATGTTTGACAGCTGGTCTTTGATGTAACCTTAAGGCTTTTCATTGAAGTCACATGCTTTTCGCTGAACATTAAAACAGAATAAAGTGAATACATGTAGTTACACTAATGTTATGTGCAACATCAAGCATTGTGATTTGTGAATTTATTATTTGAGTTAATACATGACAGTTCAGAGACCTGTGAAATAGTCATTTAACGGTTTTTGTCTCGTCAAAACCTATAACTAAGTGACAAATGATACAATATTTCAAGGGCAACTGGAGCCAGGGGTTAGGTTGTCCTAAATTTGGAATAATGACAACTCAGATATTTTTTTAAATGCGAGCACTGATTATAACATCATTGGTTGTCACCCCTACCGTTCATAAGCAGTCTCTAAGTTAACACAATCTCCACTTGAATGGCCTCGTACATCCTCTGATATATTTTTACGCACATGATAGCTGGGACAGGAACCTCTTATTCCAGTGTCTTCTTCAGATATCAGCTTAAATTCATTGTTGTATCTAAGTGGCCCTGGAAACTGAAAACAACAGGAGAAAAGGATGGTAACATTCCTTGCAACTCGCTACCATTAATATACATGTATGTTTATAAACACTAATAAAACTACGTTAATTATTTTTGGCAGCAGAGCAATGGTCAGCAAAGTAGAGGATTTTCGTCCAACTCTATTCAGAAAGGAAATTGCACCAACTGCTTTTGCTAAGGACCTGGGAGTCATTCTGGATTCCTGTCTGATGTATAACAATCATATTGCTTTGACAGTGTCCGGCTGCATGGCGAGCCTTGGCCAGATAAATCGAGTTAAACACGCCTTCGATACAACCACCTTAACAATCATAATTTATGCATTAGTTTTTAGCAAGCGATATTACTGCTGTAATGTCTGGAGCAACACCTCAGAGCACAGCCTGAATGAGATACAGGCTGTACAAAATTTTGCGGCCCGTATCGTTAGCGGTTCAAAGAAATATCACCATATTTCCCCTATCCTTAATGATTTAAGGTGGCTACCTGTAAGACAGCAGCTGTACTATCATCATGCAATAATGGCTTTAAATGTTTGACTGGGTGTGCACCACACTCTGTATTAATTTTTCTAAATATGTTCAAAGAGCTATCATCACCAAGGGTACAACGAGGAACTCCCAGATGCTAAACACTCCTTTGTATAAAACAACCACAGGACAAAGAACCTTCCATTATAGAACAGTTAAACTCTGGAATTCACTGGACTATACCCTTAAGTAAAAACCGACACTAACGGACTTCAAACGTTGCCTGAAGAGGTGTTTAATCTCAAACTTTTTAGAGACTTAATTGTTTTTTTCTTTTGTTATGTCTATCTTATTAGTTTGATTTACATATAAATAATTGATAAATTTGTTAATTAGTTACTTATTAATTAATTAATTGAGTTGCACACAGAATTTTTAATTAATTTAATTTTTAATACTTCTATCTTTATTCTGAAAAGTGCTTTTGGGACAAATAAAGTATGTATGTATGTATGTATGTATGTATGTATGTATGTATGTATGTATGTATGTATGTATGTATGTATGTATGTATGTATGTATGTATGTACATACATGTAAATAAATAAATAAATAAATAAATAGGAATTTGCAATGCCACATCCCACAGAAAGGTTCTTCGTCCACTGTTTCCAGATTGAATTGGAATTTAGGAGACAAAGTGTTGATTTTTGTAGAGGGAGGGAAACCAGCGAACCCAGAACAAAACCCTTGGAGCAAGGAAAAAACCAACAACAAACTCAACCCACTTATGATGCCAGGTCAAGGATTCAAACCCAGGCCACATTGGTGGGAGGCGAGCGCTCTCACCACTGCACCATCCCTGCTCCCCATATCTAAGTGTTAACAGCATGAGAGTTATTCTGAGATAATTTGAAGTGCTTTAAAATAACCATGAGCGTTTTAAGCCCTTGAGAGAAATGGGAGAAATGTAAAGCAGAAAAGAATCTTGACCCACAACCTCTGTGGAATTCAAAATCTACAAAGTCAAAGAGCATTTTTTGCCTTGTGCCCCCATATTCCTTTCTAGAACTAATGCTATCATTAGGCCATTTTCAAGCACACAACATTACCTCTTAAAGTAATTCTCTGCTTTCCATGTCCAATTCCAGTAATGCATGGGGCAAACCCCAACTACAGTACAGTGCTTTCAAATTGTAGTTACTTTTCACAACAGAGGACCAATGTAATACTTAAAAATTTACATTTTTTGGCAGTTTAAAAAACTGTTGAAAGAACTAAATATTATCCTATCCTAGTTTGCCACAAGCAAGAATTACTGAACAAATATAAATGGTCTATTAAAATTAATGATGTGACCTGGCACATCTAGTCACCATGAGCCAGTCAGCCAGTGTCACTGTGTTGTGTTCTAAGTTGAGACAAATTACCCAATGTGCAATACTGCTTTCCATCCAGGTGTACAGTATAAATATGCACCACCAAGCTGTCAGGGTACTACAGAGTAACTGTAGTGTTGAGATTAATTCTACAGGTGAATTTTGTACAATATGGCCAATCATAATAGAGCTACTTATCTAGTATTGATATAATCAAGGTGCAATGCATATGCAGTGGTAATTGTGACAGTAAGTCAAGTAGATTAAAGTACAGATTCTTTTATTTAACTGTAACTGTAACCTACACGTCCCATCCAGGGCCCATTTTGGTTGAAGAGGGCATGATACTATCCACCAGATAAATGTAAATTATGTTTCAAGTGGACAAAAATTTGACAAAATACAATTCACCATTTCCACATCCCCCATAATACACCTTGTCTGCCCCCCAAAATTTCGCATAAGTTGTCTTCAGTTTCTCTTGGGACGACTGTGATACCCAGGAGAAATGGGAAACAAAGGNCCCCCCCCCAAAAAAAAAAAAATTTGCATAAGCGTTGTCTTCAGTTTCTCTTGGGATGACTGTTTTAATACCCAAGAGAAATGGGAAACAAAGGTTATTATGGGGGATGCAGAAGTCGCAAATACACAATCCACTGGATGATGATTATTTTATCAAGAAAAATAGCTATGTCCAATCTCTGAACATTACTGAGGTCAGTGAGAGTAGCTGTATTACATCTAGATGCTTCTTGCCAGTCGGAAACTAAGTAAAATTCAGCTCTGCTAAACCTTTGACACTGTTAAACCACTTGCCTCTGGCAATCCATTTGATTGGAGTTTAAACCCTACCTTAAAAATGACACAAAAAACTCTGCCCTCTTTTATAAAAACTTAGTAAAATTCTTTATTCCAAACATGGTGCCAGAAGTAGCAAGGGGACACACATAACATTATTATTATGTAAAATCTGGAACTCAAAATGTCTAATAACTTTGGTTAGGGTAAAACAGTAAAAGAAGCAGCAAAATAAATACATCCCACAGAAAAAAGTGAAGTATATCACTTACAAGTGATGTGGCTTCAAAATAGGAAAAAGTTTTAGAGAAACATCCAATCCAGATCTGTAAAGAACAAGCAAAGTCACAAAACAACCTCAGAGCAACAAAAGTACAAACTTGCTTTCTTCTGTGTGATTGTTAAGTTGCAGTAGGATCTGTTTATACCTATGAAGTTCATTGTGGCAATTTGTAACTGTTAATAAACAGTATTTTCAAAAGTCAATAAGCTGTATTCCAAGTTGTTTCATTCAATGAAATACAAGGCTCGATCGCTGTGTGAAAAAAGGAGAACTTGAACGTTTAAACACAGAGCAATCCTATATAACGAGGCTGAGGTGTTCAGCCTGCCAATCACAAATCCCAACGGACGACCAGTGCTCTCATTTGATTGGCTTATTCACTCGGGTCTAATTTTCGCACGCTGCCACAAAATTCTGGAGAGCAACGGGTGTCATTTTCTGTTTTATTTTACAGGTAAGCAATGCATTTTGAACTAAATGAATGATAGCTTCAGGAGAAGAGTTTCCAAAGAAAATTGACTTTTTAAATTTCAATTTCATAATTTTGTTCCTCCACTTGCGAAAGCCAATCGTATAAATTCGAGCTGTTCACTCAAATTTATAAAATCCCATGTCTAGTTTTTTGCTCATGGATGACGTAGTTTACGTCATCCATGAGCTTAGTAGGCAGTCCAATGGCACTCACTCACTCACTCGATTCTGATTAATTTATTCATGAAAACCGCATTAAACATTTTTCTCCTACCTCCCCTGTTAAGTATTGTTTTTGTCTCAAGGACTTCTGGGCATATTTTTGACTGGTTTTATATGGGGGTACTAGAAAGGAGTAAATTTTTGTCCAACAACATGGCGTAACACAACACGAAGGTCGAAGATGGTTTTTTGTTCGATTTGTAAACAGGGATTCCTTAGTGGGTTAAAAAATGGAAAGTTTTTACGCTAAGGAACACTTGCTACGACAAATCGACAATGAAATCCTGTAAGCGACGATCCTTGCATTGAAATCTTGAAAGCTACGATGTCTATCGACCATGGTCCGTGGACAAATCGACGGAATCGCTTAAAAATGTTTTAATGTCACCCGGACGAGGAATGAAATGAATGCTGTGTCATATGGAAGCTAAGGTAAGCCTTCTTGTTCTATCATTTTTTCTTTAAAAACTATGTCTACGAGAACACTTTTGCGTACTAGTAATTAGATACTTTTGTTTGGAAACTGCTCGATATCAACATTATTCATCTGACAAAGCACATGGTTTTCTAAACAGCTGACGTTCACCATTTTGTGTCATTGTTAGATGTTGTCTTTACAGAGTTGATTTCTATCTGTTGGCGATTTATATTATCGATCAGTATTGTGGATGTAGTTTGTACTGGAAATGCTGATAACAAGTCTCTCGTGTATATATTCAGCCTCGTGTAGCTTTGAAGAAGCTTACGTCAAGTTCAAAATAAAGGTTAGTGAGAAAGTTAAAAGTGAAATGAGCAGACTAAGAACACAAGCAAACCTTGTGCCTTTGCCATTGTTACAGACCGACAATTCATCCCAAACAAAAACAATCTTGTTTCAGAATTTTGGATCTCTCCACCTCTGGCTCCACCTCCACATATATATGATGTGCGAAGTGATTACAACATTCAAGAAGCTGATGTCAACATTTTTGTTGAATCAAAACTTTGCTCGTCAGATAGAGATGATGCATATCAGCTTCGTGAATTTACTCTTTGCAGAAATTACTTTTGTCAGTCTAACATAAGAACTTGCTATGGAACTGCTGTGTACCTTTTAATGTTTTGAATTGTTTTGAATTACAATTTCACAGTTAATTCATGCTCTTACTCATCTTCACAACTCAGTATTAATAGAACCTACAATTTCAACTGTACTTCTTGGGGATTTCAATATTGGTCTAATGGAGGCAAATACAGAACAAAAGGCTCTAATGAAATATCTTATAACACACAAAGGATACACTCAGTTGATTAACCAGTATACTACTGACTACTGTACACAGATAGATCGTGTAACACAAATTATGTACACAATCAGCAGATGATCATC